TGTTGTTTTAACTCCATGCCACCATTTTGCAGCAAAACCATCAAGCAACATCGGTAAGCCACGAAGTGCGTTGTCATCCGAAATCAGGGTACAATCTTTATAAATATTGATCGCATCGATAAACACGCTAACATCAGAGTCTTTTGAACCATCGAAACGCGAAGAACACTTGGTAAAATTCCCACTACGTGCAGGAGTTGGCGTGGAAGAACCACTAACTTGGAGCCTGTCCATTAATTGTTTAAATTGTTCATCGGTTAATGTGACAGTCATCTAGGAAAGTTGCTTTTGACTACGAAGCCAATAGTTTACCGGGTTCAGCCGTCGTGATGTCCACTTACAGCATGCAAATTAAAAGTAAAACTCACAGTTTGTACTCCAGAAAATTAAAATAAGATACTTAGGTATTCCTCAAGGATACAGCTTAGTGGGTGAGCTTGATTTGAATCTACTAGCAGCGATGCGATGGAACCTATATCCAGCGAAAAGAATAGAAACTTGACACAAACATTCAATTTCGAGAAACGTTAGTTCTGGTCCCAAACAACGTTTTGAAAAATGTCTTTAGCGTCTAATGTGCGATGTGCGAAAACAACGTACTTTTACTACAAACAAGTATTGTTTTTCACTCAACGTTTGTAAAACGTAACAGTTTTCACACCCGAGTCAGTCAATTTTCACAGATTGTTATTACGCATAACTCTTGCTTAACAAACGCGAAATACTTCTCGTTCAACTGAAAATAATGCACCACTTTTCCAGTATACTCGGGCCGCTACGTTAGGAGCCAATGTTACGGGGAGATTTTTTGGGTTATGACTTCTCCGCAGGTTTTCTTTATTTAGCCGATATATTCCTGAGCCGCAATAATACATGGTTTCAACAACGAGAAATTCGTCTACAGCTTTTTATTACAGCTAATGTGGAATTAACAGTAAAATAAACTCAAAACTTGGAAAATACTAAAATTAACACTGACAACCCTGATCCTTTTTGAAAAGTCTAGAATTTTTATGAGGTCCAGCAAACGCTCCGCCATCTAGCTTTCCGGCCGAGCAGCTCCTTTCCACGGTTGTCCCTTTTAAGGTTTTATTGTTATAATATTTTACATTCACGGTGTCCTATTTTAAATAACGCATTGTAATATCTTCTTAGGGAAGAGGAACTTTTTAGGCAAAAGTTGTAGGATTTTTATGGTGAGCTTGTCCTTGACACAAAGGTCAATCGTAGAGGTCATTTGAAGGTCAACTTGGGTTTTTAGAATGGTAGTTGTATTTCTGACATCGGAAATGAATAGAGCAGAAAATTTTATGTTCAGATATGTCTGTGTGTTATGGGTCAAAGTGACCCTAAAGGGTTATTTTAGGGCCAAATCAGGTTCTGAATAAGATTTTGCGACATATTTCGGGAAAGACTTACGACTTACGACTGGTCGAAAGTTTTATATAGTATGATGGGATCATACGATGATGACCTTGACAATAACCTAGAGGTCAAGTTTGAAGGTACTTTAAAGGTCAAATCAAGTTATGAAATAGGAGAACCCTGTTTGCAACCCCATTAAGTTAAGGCAAGATCGTTATGACCCTGAAATCGAAGAATGGCAGCTGAAGTTTTTGTACTTCTCTCCTGTTTCGCAATCGAAATAGTATTTACCATTTAGTCTTTAACTTCTTCTTAATGTTTAATGCTTAATATCCATGTTCGGGATTTTGAAATTAGGTATCATTCATTTACGATTGCCTTTTTTGATAATTTATCTACACATTCATTTTGCATGCATGACCTCTGATCCAAACTATTTCTAGGTTTTTATTCAGTAATAGCAGATCGTTATACAAACTTAATACGTCAGTAATTACAGGGTTTAGTTTTGCTGTAATTTTTTTGACAACGTTTTGCTTCTGATGGTGTCCGTGAATAAGTATATGGAAGAAATAATTGATGTCATATTATTGGCAGTATCTGATAGCTTCTGCTGTAAAGGTGTAAAGAGATTTTGTTGTTATCGTGATATATCGCATAGGCTATGATAATATTTAAGATCAATGTGTAAATATATATCGATGATGTTGCCACTGTACTAATTCTGCCTGGAATGTTATATTGCTATATTCGCTGGCTTGATACCGATAGAATTGAATGTTAATTTCGGTAGATATATAGAGTAATCAACACAAAAGCAGGATAACGTATTGGATTAATAAATTTCTTATCTGAATTGATATGACCTTAGTATCTTTCTAGTTTGGGTAGTTTTTTATGTTACTAATACTTATTACTGGTAAGTCCTAGTGTTAATAGCTTATACATTTTGGTCATACTTTTGAACAAAAGTCTATGTCTTAACATTTCTCTTCTGAAATGTATGGTAGTTAAGTACAGTTTGTTTTCATAATATTACTTGGAATACTTCGCTCGTCTATAAAAGATACAACCAAATTGCAAATATAATCTAATAACCGATAGAATAAAAGGCAAAAATTTGTGTCAGCTCCACACTTTTTCATATCATATTCATATGGTCTTTTCTGTTCAGTTTCTTATCCAGCACTAGATCTAGGCATTTGACAAATATCTTTATTTAATGCTAAGATCGGATAGAAGGACTTTGTTCCACGAATAAGACAAATCAATAAAACAAAGTAAAAGTCAGGACATGTTTATTAAATACGTCAATAAATATGTAAATAAATTATTGTATAAAACGACAAGAAATGTTTGTTAAATATCAGCCTTTAATTAATTGTTCAGTTTTTTGGGTGTTCGATAGTTGGTTCTGGGTCAGTGGGCTGTACGGTGTTCTTAGCTGGTCCGGTCTTGGTGATTGGTACAACGCGTTCAGTGTTGAGTGGCTTCTCGGACTTCTTTGGCGCGCTGACAGTCAAAATTCCATCAGAGGATAGAGATGAGACTACTCCACCAATATCGTGGCTCTCGGGTAAGACGTACCTCCTGACGAAGTGCCTTGAGATGTAACCGTGTTCATCCTGTTTCTCTTCGTGTTTTCCTTCCACCACGATGTTGCTACCATTGGTTTTTACTGTAATTTCGTTGGGAGCGAATTGTTGGACGTCTAAAATTACCTGAAATAATACAGATCATTATTAAAACTGTTATTTCCAAGTTATATTATTCAGATATATTCCAGATCTTTAAGTTGAATGTTGAATGAATATTACGAGTAAATCTTAACTAAAACGATAATTTAAGCTCTATAATTATTGTTCAGGAAGAACTTTTAAAAAAGTTCTACTAATTTAATTTTTTAATTTTATAAATAATGTATTATATAAATTATTTTATTAAATTTCTCCTATTTTTGACAAAATAAATTTTCAGTGTGTTCCCATAGTCATAAAATTAAAAATAGGCATACCTATTCAAGAGTTTTGGACATCTTCCAAAAGGTAATAAAATTTTATAATTTATTGGTAGCAGTAGGTATTTATTTTTTATCTCATTCCTGGTAGTTTTATTTAAAAATATATTTGGTAGTATCGCCCATATATGCATTTTTTAAATAAAATATTTCTTATTTAATCAAGAGGATTTACTTCTTTTGGACGGCATATCTTCGTAATAATTATCGCGATAAGTTACTATACCTGGAATTTGTCCTTATCCTGTGTAATGGTGGACCCAGAATCCTGTCTCTGAAGGGAAGTGGTAGTGTTCCATGGTCTGATGTAGTTGCTAACGCGGGATCTTCTAGGTAATGTACTCAAGGAGTTGAGGAGATCGTCTCTCCTCAATCCAAGTCCAAAGTGTTGGTCCAAAAGACGAGATGGACGGGTGAAGTCATCTTCATCCCACCAGTCACGGAATAGAAGTGGTACCATGGACATCTGGAAGACCAAACATGATATGGTTAGATTAGGCGCTTAGGCACATACACTTTCTATAAGTTATTATATATTTTTATTTGGTTTTTCATAATCATTATTTTATTATTTAACTGAATTTAACTATTTCACTACACAGTTTATCCCATTTTATTCATGCGAATCATTAAGGAAAATTTACAAACTGTTCTAATTTTGGATGTGCTAAAAATATATTGTTGTGCTTAATGCAATATCTATCATGATTCAGATGACTGGGCTAGAAATCAACCAGGAAAATTTCAAATATCGATATTTAAATGAACTTTTATGTTTCCATAAAGTATAAAATATGTATGTAGTAAAGGGATTCGGAAAATACAAGGAAGTATTTGTTTTCCTTTAAAGGTTATTAAAACTGTTTCTCTTTGACGTTGTTCTCTTAAACACAGGTCGCAATACAATAATGTATTAAATATGAAGAAGCGTTTGTCTTTATATAATAATTTATTCTTGAAATTCTCGTTTTAGAAATACAGTAGTTGAAGTTAAAAATGCAATACATGAATAAAATTACAATCAACATGAAAAAAATAAAATCTCGACCCAAACTAGTACCATAGATATTTTCTTAAAAAAACGCGGGAAGAAGCCAGACAAAAAATTTTTGTCAGTTTTGAAGTGCGAACTTTATTTTCGGAAAAAATTAATTCAATAATTTTAAGATTTATTTGCACTGCTTTTATCATTTGGTTTCAAATTAATAATTTGTAAATATGATAAATTTAGAATTAATAAAAATTAATCAAAATAATTTTGTAAAAAATGAAATGACATTCCTATACTTTTCGGTTCCAAAATTAAAAAATGTTTAAAGTTGTAACAAAGTGTATAGGATATAAAGAGTTTAGGCTTCAGGTGCAAATGCTTTATATTCTTAAATTTTGATGCGGAATACGGTCCTTCATATTTGATACGCCTACTCCCGATGTACAGCATGCGAAGGAAAATTCATTTTATGAATTAAAATTTTTCAAAAAAGAAAACAATCCAAAATTAGAATTAAAAAATATACCTAATGGTAATAATAATTAACAGTAATTACAAAATAATAATAATAAAAATAGTAATGATAATAATAATAATATTATTATTGTATAGTAAGTATAATAGTTTCTTACCTTAAGAATGTGTCTTCTTTGGTCGATTGAAGTCGAGACTGCTTGTAATGTTCGTTAGTCTGAGACTAAAATTCCTTCTCCTTTTACCTGAATATATACACAATTTCAAATAAACCAACTCAACGCGTCTGACATTTCTAGAAGGATTATATCAGATACTCTCAACTGAAAACTCCCAAAATAACCCACTGATGAATAGTAGAAAGAGATGGTGCGTATTCAGTATTTCTGAATACATCCTAAAACTCAACCAATGCTGAAAATAGCAGGAGTGAGTAAACATAAATACGAGTTAGAATTTTTACGCGATCCTTCATTATGCTTTTATTATTAGGACCATGATGCATCGGTTCAACTTTCGTCTATTTTAGGAGCTTTGTTGGGATGGATTAAGATAAATTTCAGTCTAAGGTGGGAATTGGCGGTAGAAATAGTAGATTGAGTAGGTGTGGTAATAAATGTGATAAATCCTAAACTGAAGGTGTGAAAAAATAATGACGTATGAAGTATGCCTCATGGACGAGTCATGAAAAAGGTTGTAATACTTAATTTGATAGGAATATTACAAAAATTTAAATAATTTTAAAATAATTGTAAAATCCTGATACTATGTAGTATCCATAGAACTTTTAAAGTATAAAACTGTTTAAGGAGTAAAATTATTATAAACATTTATGATTAAAAAACAAATAAGTTTCTGCAAAATAATTTATTGGTACCTAAATAAAAAGATAACCTATCTATCTTCTGTATTATTTCTAATAAACTAATGAAAAAGGATGTAAAAAGGATATTCTTGAAAAATATAGAAATCTTATAAATAGATCAAGATGTAGTAAATACAGGATATAAATATTGTATTATACAAGGTGGCCGTTTGAAACCGTCGTTAGAAATTAGAAGTACCACGAATTATTATTTTGTCTGAAAATTTCAGCTTAAACTATACTGGATTCATTAATATATCTTCAATATGTACTTCAACGTACTTATAGTCCATCTAAAAGTGCCTGATAGTTGAACAACTAAATACAGAGCCTTCATAATAAATGATTACAATCCACGTGACTAGTAATTTTGTTTCGAACAGTAATTTTATTTCCTTCTCGTTGGTAAATTAAATTCCAGTAAATTTAAAACAATAAGCTCAAGATTACATTAAAACAATATTCTGTTTCACCGACTGATGATTTTTCACGAGACCAACCAAACAACAATTCAACCAATCAGCGATCGCATTATGTCGAGTGTAGATGCAACGGTTTGTCATTGGTCATTGTAAACAAATCGGTTGTTAGTACCAGCCGTGCAATGTTGGCTGCCTAAACGCGACGGTCACGTGGCTTGAAATCACTAAAGATATGTAATGTAATGTTGCCATATTTAGTTTCTAAATTTTCCTTTTAGAAAGTGAAGTTAGGAAGTTTTATCATTTACTTTATGTTTTACATATGAAAAATATGCAATAAACTGATTTTTATAAAGGAAAAGTTTTATATTTAACAATGCAATAAAAATATAAATGAAGATAACTGGCTTACTTTAAGTTATTTTGATTTAATAAATCACTGATTTGTAAAATCAGGACCGACTGCTATCAGATTTGAGATATAAACATAAATTTTAATAGTAAATAACTTCTAATTTTTTAACTTTAATCGTTATTTTGATTGTTTTTTATTTTAATTTTATAGGTAGTGTAGTGTTTTTTTTTAACTTTATTAGAACAATCTCTATCATATACTGATTATTTGGAACCGTTTCCAATGGTGAATTCACCACAGTTGAAGTGCTCTCGAGCATTTTTGGATGGACTATGATTGTGTTGTGATTTAAATGACACTTTGGTTAAGTTCTCGTAACTATATCTAAATTTAGTCATTTCTGCGATGCAGTGTGAGCTCAAAAGGTTGTATTGAACCTATGAATGAATATTTTACATTTAATTCATGTTTTTTTGTATGTTAATATGGACATTTAATTTTTAAAAAATATGTAGTTTTTTCCTAACCTTCAAATTATATTTGATACAATGGTTTCGTCACAAAGAGAAAGAGACAACATAAAAAAATAAAAAAAATCAATCAAATGCAATATATACAAAAAAATTAAGAGTTATTACTAATCTTCTAAATGTCTCATAAATAAGATTCATTTGGAATGAATGAATATGGAATTAATATCTTCACAAGTCAACGCATCTGAGAAAAAATATGCTAAGGCGCCGTCGGATAGTGTAAAAATATGATATTTTTGATGAAAATGACCCTTTACTTACAGAAGAAATATATTCTTTGTTCCTGACAAGTCATACCTAAAATTTTCGGAAACAAAAATATATTTTAAAATAATTTGGGTTTGTTGCCAAATTTCAACTCAAAACTTATTTGTTGTTGACACAGGTAAAATGATCTGAAGGCACCCTGAATATATTCCTTGATTCCTCTTAAATCTATTAATGTGGTTGTAAAGATCACACAATTCGGCTTCTCGTGGCTTTTCGGCAAGCTTTTGAATCATAACCGGGCTTTCATTTTAGATATAATCTAAAGGATATAATATAAGGATTAAACTAAGGATATAATAATACCCAAGTTGCTGTATTAATATTTTTTAATAACATAAAATATGGCGTATATTATTTGGTTACATTTTTTACTTAGTACCCTTTGATTTAAAACATAACATTTTGGATAAGATAAAACCTACAAAGAATATTATATCTTACTTGCCACTGCTGTTTAATGCCTACTAGCACAAAGTATCCCTTTGTACCTACAATCAGAGATAGACCTACTGTAGGTAGTATGAAAGCATAACATTTGTTTTGGTTCTGAAATCGAGAACTGCATGAAACCGAGAATGAAACTAAATCATAAACGAAAACACCAGTCAGTCGTCGTGGCAATGTTTTCTGATTATACAGCGTGTCCCACTAGTGCGGGATAGTCCAATATTCATGTTAAAATGAGGAATATATGGATTTTTCTTTTTACTGTGTTGCCACATTTCTCGGAATGTACAAATTAAAAATATATTCAACCATACAGGGTGTTCCACTTTTCCTGGACAGACACCAACTTTGTTTTTTTAAATAGAAACACACATTTTTAATATTTTTTTTGGATTCTACATCAAAAATAAAGGGTACTTTGTGTAGAATAGTTCTATTCAAATATTCACAGTTTTTGAGATATCTCGCTTGAAAGGTTTTTCTAGTCGATATTGGTTGCTTACATTTTCTGATACTGACAGGTTATACTAATAGCTACTAAGCCCATTTTTTTATCAGATGTTTAGTAAGGATGACTCTTCCGAATCATGCTCCAAAAACTGGCCTGCGTTATACAGGGTGACCAAAATATCATGTCAAAATTGCCAATTGAAAAATTGAAAAATCTCGATTTTTTTAAATGCAACGCCCTGTATATTTTCATACCATGAGATGCAGAATTAAATTCTCTACAACTTTGCTATACCTGCTCCTATACCAAAATTCATTAGTTTTTCATGAAATCTCATTTCTATGAAAAAATGCGAAGTTTACAAATAGCTTATATGTAAAATAACGTAGTAGGCTCCTGTCAAAGGATAATCTGGAAAATTTTCGATTCACATAAGGTTTAATAGAAAAGCGACAGTAATAATTGTGAAATGAATTACTCTAAAGAAGAATTAGTAAATAAATAATAGAATAATTAGTAAAACTCATGGTAACTGTTTATTGGCAAGTCGTATTTACCAAGCTAATAATCCAGATTTACAAAGATATCCTCGTACAAAGTGTTTTGTAAAACTGAAGGAGAGGTTTGAAAGAACGGCAAATGCAAATTATGAGAAGACAACAAGAACACACGCATGCAGTAATCAGGATAGTCAAATTGACATTTTGGGATGTGCAGTCCAAAATCCATCTACAAGTGTCAGAGAAATTAGTGATGAAATTAGTATTTCCAAAAGTGTGGTTAATAGAACGTTAAAGAAAAACAACTTCCACCCCTATCATTCTGAGCATCACCAATTCTTAACACAGCAAGATTTTCAGAAGCGAGTACAGTTTTGTGAGTGGGCAACTATAAAGCTACAACAAGATGAAATTTTTTTTCAAAGGTGTTATTTACTGACGAGTCATCCTTTGCCAATACTGGTCGAGAGAGTCGACATAATTATCACCATTACGCCGATCATAATCCCAGATTAATAAGACAAGACGATCATCAACACCGCTTTAAAGTCAACGTTTGGGCGGGAATATGCGGAGAATATGTCATTGGACCACATTTTCTTGAAGGAAACTTAACTGGTAATGGGTATTTGCAATTTTTACAAAACGACTTGCTCCAATTGCAGGGACATATTCCTCCGGATGACTTAAACAGTCAGTGGTTCCAACATGATGGTGCCCCTGCACATTCCACACTGGCGGTAAGTTTTCTCATTATGTAAGTTATGTAAATTCATAGAAAAACTGTTTCAGGTTAGAGAATACTTAAATGATTTGTATCCAGATAAGTGGATAGGTAGCCAATTCCATGGCCTCCCCGATCCCCAGACCTGTCTTGTCTTGATTTTTTTTATGGGGCTATATAAAAGACAGGGTGTATGAAACTCCTCCGACAGATGTAGAAGATTTACGGGCAAAGATAAGAAATGCTTTTTTGACCCTAACTCTGGAAATGCTGCGAAATGTGTCAAGCAATTTTCGTCGTAGAATTAATTGCTCAATGTCTATAGAAAAATGGCAGACATTTTGTGCGGTTACCTGTTAATTACTAATTTAACTAGGTCTTTATTACTTTTGTTAGAAATGCACGATGTTAATTTACTGTTTTGGATTCTGCATGCGTGTATTCTTGTTATCTTCTCATAATTTGTATTTGTTGTTCTTTCAAATCTCTCCTTCAGTTTTACAAAACACTTTGTACGAGGATATCTTTGTAAATCTGGATTATTAGCTTGGTAAATACGACTTGCCAATAAACAGTTACCATGGGCTTCTCTTATTCTATTAAACCTTTCTTCCTATTAAATCTTATGTGAATCGAAAATTATCCAGATTATCCTTTGACATGAGCCTACTACGTTATTTTACATATAAGCTATTTGTAA